ATACATTGTATTGTTTTATATATGCATTCATAGAGATTTAGAAATAAATTTTAAGAAGTCATGAGGCAGGATTCTGGAATTTCTGTTCCTTTCCTCATCAGTGGAGTAGATGTGTTTTCAAAGAAATATATCTGTTGAATAAAACAGTGCCATAGATTACAGCTTTCTTCTTTTTGCCTTCAGGCCTGTTTGCATAAGTTAAGGGTTCACAGAGGTTAAACATAGAAGAAAATGTCTTTTAAAGTAACCTAACTAGTTATCAGTTTGACTGTTGAAGGCCGTTGCTAGGGCTTTGTTTAAATTATCTTCTGTAATTGCTTTAAAATGTATTTGGCATTCCTCTGTGCAGATTTTGAAATTATGACTTGATATGTTCTCTGTTTCAGTTCTGTGAGTTTATTGCTATTCTGTGATCAAGACATTTAGCTGGAAAAGTGGCTTTTGTTTTTATAGATTGCATGGATTATGTTCCTCTAAGCACAAGAATTCAGTTTTTCACAGAAATATAGGAAGAATGTTCAGAGATATGACAGACTGGGTAAATATCTAACTTCCAGTTAATAATGTTATGCTTTTATTATAGGAAATTTTAATTCCTTATGTCAGGTCACATTCATCCAAAGTGTTGTAGCATACTTTGTACATTAAAGATCATGATCCTATATAAAATTATTCAAACATCTAAATTATTATTTTTAGGTATTTTTTATTGTAACTTTAATTTTGGTTCCTTCAGAATTTTGGCAGATCAGTTCTTGAGCAAACTCAACCTCAGTCATGCTGTCATGCAGAGAAAAAGAATCTGACAGAATAGATTTGAAGATATTTAATTAAAAATTGATTGCGGTTACTGCCTTTTTCTATATAAACCCTCCCAACTAAAAAGATACTTCAATTGGTGGATGACAGGATTATGTAGGGCATAATCCATTTAGTTGAACCCACAGTTATCAAGTGCTTGTGTTGGAAGGGACCTTAAAGATTATTTAGTTCCAAGCCCCCTAGCATGGGCGGGGACACTTTCCATTAGAGCAGATTTCTCAAAGCCATCTCCAACTTGGCCTTGAGCACTTCCAGGGATGGGGCAGCTACAACAACTCTGGGCATCCTGTTTTTTGAGAGATATGCTGGTTATCACATACATATTCACACAAACCAAAGCTCAGCTCCAGTATGTTTCTGCCTTGCCCCCTAAATTTTCCATGTTCTTCAGAATTTCTCATTATTTGTTGAATACCATTGTGATATAAAACCTAACTTCTGAGTCAGAGATGTAATTCCACTTCCAAAGGCAGCTATATTAGTCCTTTGTGTGTCTGTCCTTCTTCATGACAGGTTCACTGGAGCAAATGGAAAAAGTGAAAATTACTGGTCTGGGACATGAAGAAGGTTTAACAGAAGGCTTAATTCCTACTTCTGCTCTCAGTAGGGCTACTATTCATGAAGTTTTCTGAGACATAACTTCAGGGGTTCTTGCCAGAAATTTGGACCAGGACAAAAAAATAATAATTTAGTTACTTGTGAAAAATTTCTAGGCATCTGGTATGTGGGCCAGGCCTCTGACAGAAGGATGGTCCAGGTGATTGGTGACTGCAGGCATGGCCTGAGCACAGAGTGCCCAGTGAACTCAACATGACTGACTGAAAGTCACTGGCCAATAACAGTCCTCCTGGACATAACAGGATAAATACATGTATGCTTCCTAACCTACAAATTGGTATTTCTTTGTGGGAATTCTTAATCAGAAATATGGGCTTAAGCATAATAAATCTTAAGTTCTGGTAATTGTAATTAATACAGTGACCATAACACAAGAATTGGGTAATACCATATCTGATAAAGTATACTGCAACCAGCGAAGGAAACATGATCAAATAGGGCTTTAGACAGGAGATTTTAAACCCTTTCTCTGGCTAGAGCCAAATTCCATTAGTAATTTTAGTTCACGGGCAAAGGTTTATATTTAGGACTTCATACAAGCATCAGGCAGTAGTTACATTGCCTGCAGCATCAAAGCATTCAGATGTAGCACTGAGCATTGCCCCAAGTGTTTAAAATACCATGAACTAGTCCTTTGAATATCATTAGGTAAGCTAAAAAGATATTTGGTTGTGTTTATCTTTTAATCAATACAGCCAGGCCCTTTTTTCGTTTGGTTGCCTGTCATAGGAGGTGTCCTGATACTGGTTGAAAGCTTTTATGTCCTTCACCATTGAAATTGCTTATTTATTGAAGACTTCCACCCACCCTCGCTTCCCTCCTCTCCCACCCCCACCCCCCTCAACACTAAAGTAAGTGTAGCATTATGAGAAAGTGTCTTTCATATTTTCAAGGCATCTATGAACTGAATGGAGTGAGAGGCAAAACCTTATTTTAAGTTATGAGGTTAAATATGAGGTGAGGTAGTCATGGAAAGGGAGTTGTTTTCCCCAGATCAGGTTTATGGCACAGCTAGGAATTGAGCACAACTCTTTCAACTCCCATATTTTTCAGCCAGACTATTTGATGCTACTTCTATGGACTTTACTATGTGGTGGTAGAAACAGGAAATGTAACTGGACCAGAGCTGGTGGTTGTGTGAAAAGACATAAGGGCATCATCCCCAGCTGGAAAAATAAATTGGTAGGAAAAAAACTTTTTATTTTCCCTACTTGGACTGTGATTGAACCCTTATAACACCAGAATTTAATTTTCTCAACTATTTGGGTGTGTCTCACAGGCTGTTCTACTGCAACTCAATTCCATGGCATGCCCACCCCCGGGCAATGTTGTCTACAAGTAATTAAATGCCCTGGCACTGACTCAATCATGCTGTAGGATAGGGACTCCTATTGATTTGGGGATAATGTTTGAAATCAGAGCTTTAATTCGGTTTCTATTTCTCATAAAATCTGACACAAGCAGCTGCACCAGGCTGCTAGCTCTCCAAGGAGCCAGACATTCAACAGTGGTTACATCAGCCTTTAGCCTTTTCAGCACCCCTGGGATGGACTTTGTAGCTGTGTTTTCAGAGCTCAGTCTGAAAGGAGAGTAAACCATAGCCATGAGTCCTGTATAGGATCAGCTATTCCCTGTTGAAGCCCTAACATTATGTGTGGGTCATCTATAAAACTCCATGCACTGACGACCATCTAATTTTGGGAGCTGGCATGGCAGAGCTTGTTCTGGGTATCAAGGTGGGGGTGAGGCTGAGGTGGGAGGTGAGCAGCAATTTTACTGCAGCAGTCTATGTTCTGGCATGGGCTCAAAGTGCCTGAGCTGCCCTTTCTCAGACTATTGCCATTGGTACAGGAGTCACACATGGAAAAACACAGTCACAAAGTCACAGGCTCTTTTGTGTCTACCTTGGGGTAAGGCAAAGGGATTTTTTTGTGACCCTTAATTGGGGCAGAGAAAAAACCCTATTAAAATATCCATGATTTGGCTATGGCTTGCATAGGCATAAATTAGTGATGACTTCTCTCTGTAGAACAGGTCATATCTCTTTTGTTTTTCCAACACTTCCAAAGGCTGGAATATAAGTCTTATGAGGAATGGCTGAAGGAGCTGGGGTTCTCTTGAAAAGCTACAAAAATATATTAATGAGAGGACAGCAGTCATAAGAATTATATAAAAGTGTAGCTTAGTGAGAGAACAGTAGTCATAAGAATTATATAAAAGTGTAGCTCTGGTGCATGTACAATGTATTTACATTTAATTTTCAAAATTCAAATTTTCAGTAGAAACCTCTACGCCTAATTGGGCAAACCCATTGCCATTTCTCCACATATGCTGTGCATGGTAGATTCCCAGAACTCCTGTTATCATTAATGTGGACTAACAAAAAATAAAAACAAAACAAAAACAGTAGAAAATTTACCTGGTTAGTGCTGCTGCTGGTACTTAATTTCTTTTGAAGTATGTAACTTCTTTATATTGCTGGCATCTCCTGAAAAAAAATCTTCATAAACACACACTCTTAAAAAAAAGTTACATCATCACAAAGGAAATGCTGAATGTAGTAAGTACCTGTTTTGCTCTCTGTGTGTAAAAAAATAGAGTAATTTTTTTTAATGGAATGACAAACTGCAGGTTTGTCTAAGTTACGTGGGAGAATTATCTGGGACTCAGGTATTAACAAAGGATGAAATCCATGCAGTTTTAATAATCACTTATAATTTAATAACTACCTGATATGGACACTCATATTACAGTGTATTTGCTGATACCACTACAAATAATATAGTTCTTACATTGATAGATTTTACCTATTTTATTATGCTTCATTTTTTAAAGAGTAGCAGGCTAACTGTATCCCACTGAAATTACCCTTCCAAACCGCACATTTTTTGTGCATACAGCAGTTCCTCTGTTACTTTCTTTGCAATACAGTGGCTTCTACTTCCTTTCCAAACCTGTTGAGCAATATTGTGATGTAGTTCCAAGCAGCTGCTGTGGTCACCCTATGTCTGTACATCAGTAGCAAGTGAAATGATTTCTATATATAGTTTGTAATATCTGTTGGCAAATGTTTGTAAAGCACGCTGAGATTCTTCCTGAGGAATAAGAGCAGCTATATGAAAGCAGGAGTGTTAAGACCATCCTTGCATACAAAGCAGTTTATCTTTTTGGTGTAGCAGAAATGAGTAAATGGCTGTTCTGCGGAGACAGGAAGAAGCACTTGCTTTGGGCAAAACCCTGGCAGGAACAGTTTGTGCTGTCAAAGATAAGCAGGTTCATCTCACACTGTTATTGCAGAACATGACATTGTACTGACATGAGATGATTAAAAAGTATTGGCTGTGTAGGAAGGAAAGAAAACTGGGAATGGGAATGACATTTATTCAATAAGATTTATTTTTCCCTGTTGTCTTCCTTATTTTAGTGTGATTCAGGTACACAAAAGGAGCAATAAACCCTGAGTCTGCTGAACCCTTGGTACCCAGCAGCATCCTCTCTGTATAGTAAAATAGACCTCCAGGATCCATGCACAAAGGTGCCTGTGCAATACGAGCAGTGAGTTTTCTTTCTTGTAATTAAAGGTTGAGAAATGTGTTAGTTCAGAAATGTTCTTATTTGCAGTCAGATGTATTTTTCCCCCATCCTTCCCTGCAGTCAGGTTGACCTCTTGACTCCCCTTCCAGGATGCATTCTGTCTGCTACTGTGTTCCCATCAGAAGCCCTATCAGAGCCCAATCACTTCTTCACTCCCTCTTACTCTTCTGTCTTGATAAGTAAGGCTATGCAAACTCCCCCACCACTGAAATGCATTAGATTAGTGGTTGCCCTGTGGCTTGTTGGTGTATGGTATATAGTTATGTTCCCAGCAGCTGTTGGGAAAGCTGTTTTCAAAACTGATTTGAGCAATAAGGCAGCCCACATGCACATGTTTTTTAATAAAAGCTGATTACCATTTGTGATGGTCTGACTTGTTAAACTACAGCCAGGATCTGGAATCTCAAATCTGGAATGTCCTGGTAGCCTATGGTGTGTTGCAGGGAATCTGTGGGGAAAATCTGTCTTTGAGCTAGAATGCTGAATCTGATTCCCAAGCAAAGACTGGTTTTGAATTAGGGTCATTTTTGCACTTACCCCACTTTGTGTTCCCCCAGCACGGATAACAGAAAACATCTTTTTCTTCTCTGTGACTCCCTGTTTACAGCATCACCCGGAGAGATGGAGTGAGCAACAGAATCATCTGGCATTGAGAAAAGCAGCTGAAAAATTGTTTCTTCAAATACCTTCAGTGCATGCTTCATCCCATTTGCTCTGCTGATACCACTGTTAAATGTAGGTGATGACACATCCTTTTCAGGCACAGTACTGTGTGCACAATTCTCACAAGTTATGTGAGTCTCCCAAGGGAAAGAGCTGCAGCTTGTCCCATCAGTCTGCCTCGTGGTCTTATGTACTTGCCAGGCTGCTTGACCCTGTGTCTCTCCAGCATGGTTTGAATTCTGCATTCAGCCTGGGTCTGTACACGCAGCATACAAAAACTGAGACATATATAGAGATAAATATATATATATTGCTATAGTGGGAGTGGGAGAGTGGCAGTAAGGAACACGAGGGCAGGACAGAGTAGATGTGCAAGAAGGAGTAGGAAGGAGAGGCCAGCAAACAGGTTGTGGAGGTGGCTGAGAACATTGAGGGCCTTGCAGGGAAAGCAGGAGCAGGGAGCCTGCAGGACCAGGCATGGAGAAGGCAGCACAGCAGCAATAAGGCATGAAGAGAGAATTCAGGGGCTGGTGCCTCGGGGTCTGCTTGAGTGGATGGAATGAGGGAAGGAGTTGGCTGAGGAATGAGGGTTGCAAAAGTGGTGGTGGGAGGCAGGAGCAAGCAGCACTGCAGATGGGCAGCAGAAAACAGGGGAATGCCCAGTGTACTGTGGTGCATTGTTTTTAATGTGCTGTATGGCAATTGGAGCTGTTCCTGCAGCGTGGGACTGAGCTCAGTATGAGCCAACGCATCTGCCCCATCTGACAGGCTGTCCTCAGGAGCTGGGACTGAAATAGCCACTGTCCTGCACCAGAGGACAAGGTTGTACAGCCCTTTCTTTGCCTGCCTGTAGTTTTCCCTGTGCTCATCTGAGTGGAAATATACATTTAACTGTGGGCTTTGTGCTGCTGAGAGAGGTGAGCACCACCTGCCACGTGTTGCTTGTGGCCTTTAAGCAATTGAGCCAACGTGCCCCCAAGTGTAGTAACATGAGAAGCAGAACAGAGTTCCCTAGGCTGCTGATTGAAATGGTTAATTGCTTGGAAAGGCAAAAAGGACACTTAGAAGGGTTTCTTCTTGTAAAACCAAGAAAATAAATAACCTTTCCAGCAGGTTAGGAAAGGTTGAAAGTCTTGTCTGAAATCTAGCTGCTGAAAGCCAGGAACCATGGGTGCCAAGATCTACAATGACAGAGTGAATCCTCCTCCTATAAAACGCATGCTTTCAGTTCTCGTTTTCTCTCAGCTCAGGTTCTGAAGTGAACAAACTTTTTAATAATTCTGTTGAATGAGAGATGAGTTTTCATGGCCTATTGTTGAAAAGGTTAATTCCGTGCGTACAGGATTTCAGCAGGGCATTAGGGAAGTGAATTTGGGTTTTCTGTTAGGAGTTGGAAAAGCACTTCATCAAATCATCACAAAGATCTTTTAGGTCATCAGGTTCAAATGTTAACCTAACACTGTTAAGACCACAACTAAACCATTTTCCTGAGCGCCACATCTACACATCTTTTCAATACATGCAGGGTTAGTGACTCAATTACTTCCCTGGACCACCTGTTCCAATGCTTGACAACCATGAAGAAATTTTTCTTAATGTCCAATTGCAGGATTCATCCTAAGCAGCAGTCAATGTAGCCACTAGAAATCTGCCCTCCTATACTACATATGGTTCATGCTCTATTCACTGCCTCCTGTGATGGAAGGAAGTTCACTGTGCCACCTCACTAGCACACAATGGACTCTTCCTAAACTGTTTATCATGGTGTGATTGAGGACACAGCCAGGTAAATAGAACAGTTTGCTCAGACTGCTTGGTTTTGGCTTGTTTGGTTTTTTTTTTTCAGAAATCAGAACATGTATAGTGTTCTGAGAAAGGAGAAAGGCGACCACGAAACAGGATGTTTCAGGTAAGAATGCTAATAACAGGAAAACGCAATCACTCCTGTCTTTGCTCTGAGTTGCTCTTGGAAGTTGGAACCTGTAATCTGGAATGTTGTAAGGATGGGAAGCTTCAGCCATGGCTGATGCCCACAGGAACTGAACTTCGATCAACTGAAATGCCTGCATAATGCCAAATACTGCCAGAAGGGGAATCAAAAATTACAAATTAGTGAGTACTTTCAGTCTTAAGGTTTCTGTACCTCTCTTGCTCTTACTAAAACACCTTCATGTCCTCTGTAAAGGCCACTGGACAATTAAAATAATTGATAGCTTTGCTATGCTGAAGAACAGGGGAAAAATAAAATGTTGAAAGGCTATTAAATGTGTGTGATCTTTCCCATGCAATGAAAAACAGTAAAGGTTCTGAGTACTCACTCACGTGTCTAGCATCAAAATATATGATTTCAGAACTACGTAATTAAGGACTGTGTTTCTGTGCTCATTAGCAGGCAACAACAAATACTATTCCCACATTTTCTGACCTGTGAGTACTTGACTTTACAGTTGTTTTTGTTTTTTTGGTTTTTTTTTTAATTAGCCATGTGCTACAGCCTTATTATTTTTATTAAAATCGTCCAAGAAAGTGTTCATGGCTCTTTGCCTTTGGCCATTTCCCTGTACAGAATAGGTCCTAAAATTCCACGAGTGTCATATAGGATCAAGAAGGGACACAAACCTCTCATAATCTCATCTGACTGCCAATTTTCCCCCTGCTTCAGGGGAGAAATGTACAAGAAAGTACACTGTCCGTCTTTAGTAATATCTTTAAATTATCTCATGGCTAGAATGGACATCATTGGCATTTTGTATAGAAAAACATCGTCACTGACCCAGTGTTGTATTGTGTCTCAGCAAGGAATAGCTGAGATATTGAAGGTAATCATGTTATTTCATCTTCTTTTGGAATATTATTTTAGAAGTGATTAATACATGCTGCTTTTTGAAGTTTCTTTGAGTTTAGAAAATTTGGATTATACATATAGAAGTTTGAATAGACAATTAAGGTATCTGTATGTCTGTACTTTGTATAATGGGCTCTCAGCTCAGGAAAATTGAAAGACTTAAAAATTTTGTTGTACCTGACAAAAAGGAAAAGCAGAAAGCTGAGATTTTTCTGGAAAACAGTAGATTTGAGTAGATTTAATTTTTAACAGCATATTTTTCCTTTTAAGATTGAATGTATCAGTATTGTACATATCAACATTGTACTAATAAAATATAGCATATTTCTAAAAGCATTTCCGTTTCAATCAGCATTTTCCAACAAAATAATCTGTCCAGTTCACATTTCCTAACTCCATCAAAAAATGAAACAAAATGTTGTCAGCAAAAATTTAGTCAAGAAAGAGAACTTTATTGTGCTGCTTCTCTGACTAACTCCAAGTATAACAATGTCATCCATTGTCCTAGATGTACCAAAGAAATATAATTGCTTAGAGTGCAGCTCTATACAGATACTTAATGCCTATGTCAGCTCTACCAAAAAGCATTGATGATGCCACGTTAAAAGAAAAGAGGTGCTAATTGTATTTTCCTACTCTTTCACATTTTTCAGAATTTGGCACAGGCCTCATTCTGCAGGTGCAGCTGAAAAAGTGAACTCCTATGGACCCAAGGACTTGTCTGTGTGCACTTGACCCATCATGGGACCTTATGCCATGAAGATAAAAGGGTGAAGATAACACTCTTAGCTCCATAAACCAAGCATCTGCCTCCTTTTTATTTTGTCCAAAGATTCTGTCAATGTAAATGACCTGCAAATATTTATTTTATATTAAGGTGTACAGTATTCTTATGTCTGCTTTATTAATTATTTTGTAGGTTAGGAAAGACAATGGCTATAAGCTTTCATACAATTTCTTGATCAGGATAACTGCATGAAGTTCATATAGAAAAATGATCAAAGGAAAAATATACTTATAAAATCTTTATGAAAATCATGCTCAATCTCCTCTCTCTACTGTCAGTAAAGCTGTATGCATAATGATGAAACTAAATGAGCACTTTGGCTTAACAACATTCTTCAGTTCAGGTGTCCAATCCATACTGACTTAAAAGACATGATGTTGGGCAGGAACAATACTTCAAATTATGTTCATTTACATTTCCATTAAATATTGGCTTGGTTGTCTAAAACAGACTGTGTGTTATCATTTAAGAAGGTTGATATATGTTGTTATAGATGTGTTCCTACTTCCACGTACCAAAACCTCTCTTCCTCTCCCTCCCCCTCTCTCACAACACAGATTAGCAGATATTGCTGGCCTGCATGTTTCAGAAAATGTTGCTAGTTCACCATCAGTCACTGCTAATAGAAAAAAAAACAAACAAAAAAAAACCCCCAACATCAGAAAAACAAACAATAAACATTACAAAGTTTAATCTTTCTTTTTGTAATTCTTCTTATTGAAAGATGCCTGCCAATAAAAATAATATCGGAATAATATATCATCTATTAGCAGAAACTATAATGTAGCTATGCATTTTGAATAAAGAATTGAAGGGCACTCTCCAGCTGCACATTCACACAGTCAGTGACAGCGAGCAACAGCCCTTAAAAGAATATCCACTAGAGGCCTTCAGCTGCCTGGCCTGTCAGAAGTGATGAAGGCACAGCCCCCTGCCCACCCAGGGCTTGTTACCCTTAAATCTCTGGGTGACTCTGTCTGTTCTCCCCAGCAGCGCACAATTCTCCACGTGAAAAAAAAACCTCACAGGTGCTCAAATGGAAATGTCCAGCTGATTCTCACTCCAATAGTCCTAGAAAAAATAAGGGAATTAACAAAAAATTCAGTTGTGTGATTTATTACAGGCAACATGTGACACTGCAGGAGCAGTGCTCCCCACAGCTGCCTGCACGCTCACCTCTTCCCCTTGGCTGCCTTTCCACTGCCTGCAAACACCTTGGTGGGATAACAGCCTTTCACCAGAAAACTGTGAGAGTGAGAGGAAGTCCACTGAACAACAGCAAGGGTGTTTTATTTCCAGCCACTGTGAGAGCTCAGGAT